GGTTGTCAAGATATCTTCGCTCAAAGTTGAAGATAAATTTGATCTACAGGGGGGGTATGAATAACAAAATTGGGGGGGTATAAATAATAGCCGCCAAAACTTTTTGTTAAAGCACTAAAGGTTTGTTTATTGTGCTACGTTACATCTGATTCTTGGCATCTGATTTGTGGATCATGAGATCTGCGCCACAATGATCGGTAATTATGATTCTTACCAATTTTGATTAGTTTAATACTTTAATAGGAAAAGTTCCAAAATTACCGATTATTTTATTACTAGAAATGAGCCAAATTTCAAATGATGTTAATAAATGCAGTTGATTAACTTATTATATAATTTTGAATGTTTTTTTTATGAAGTAGAACCTTTTTGCGTACAAAAAAAAAAGAACAAACGCAAAATTAATATTGACATTTCGATACGCCAACTTTAACTAAATCATTTATTGATCATAAAAATATTATTAAATCATGACGCAATTTTTTTTACTTTTCGTCATTTCACGATGCCTATAAAAACCTGTAAATTCATTTATTCTTTATCGCTTTATAACAAAAATTGTATTTATTTATTTATTTATCTATCGAAATTAATAAAATCATCTATTTATTTATTTGCATCCTTCGCTTAGTCTCTTCTATTAAAAAGATATGGATAATATTGAAGAAGTTAATATGACACCTACTAATACGGCTGGTGAAAGTGATGTGATTCAGGATGGATCAAATTTTGATCAAGATAATAAAGAAGGTGAAGCAATAAAGATGAAACAAATAAATAAAAAAGATGATTCATCTGTTAGTAATGATTCATCTGTTAGTAATGATTCATTTGTTAGTAATGATTTTTCTTTTATTTGTCCTTATGTACTATAGCATTATTGTTATCAGTTTACAATATTTTTATTATTTCATGACTAATTAATTATAAAGACCGAACAATATTTACAAACTGATCCAAAAACCGGTTTGACGACAGAAGAGGCTGAAAAACGTTTGAAACAATTTGGAAAAAATGAAATTACAGAAACAAAGCCGTAAGTTCATATATTTCATGTTAATTTTGATCATCACTTCAGTTTATATATTCATCGATTCTTTAATGCTTATAGTAATATGATCTTAAAATTCATTTCATACTTTCGAGGTCCGATCGCCTACTTGATTGAACTAGCTTGTATAGTGGCAGGGATAGTTAAGGATTGGGTAGATTTCGGCATAATTCTCGCACTTTTGATTGTTAACGCATGTATAGGATTCATAGAAGAAGCACGTGCAGAATCTGCGTTAGAAGCGCTAAAGCAGACTTTAGCGTTAAAAACGAAGGTTTGGCGTGATAGAAAATTGGTCGACTTGGATTCTACGGAATTGGTTCCAGGTGACATTATCGCTTTGCGGATTGGAAATATCATACCGGCTGATGCAAAATTATTGGGAATTAGTGTTACTGGTTCAGAATCTTCAGAATACTTGATGGTGGATCAATCGGCATTGACTGGTACGTGTATTATTACTGTTTTTTTTTTTTTTTTTATTCCTTGGATGCTGCGAAAATTTTGGTTAATTTATATAATTTAACCACAGGCGAAAGTTTACCGGTACATCACAACAAAGGAGATATTGTATATTCAAGGTGATTATTCTATAAGTGTTAACATTAAATTTTCAACATGTTTTCCATATAACTGACTTTTTATGATGATAGTTCTATAGTTAAGCAAGGACAAATGTTGGCTATCGCTGTCAAAAGTAAATAACAATATAACGACAATTTATAATCCTTGGTTTTCAACCCATTGTTTTTTTAACATTTAATTATTTTAATTTTGTAAAAAGCTGGGAAAGATACATATATTGGACGTGCCGCTACGCTTATGAACATGGCCGTGGATCAAGGCCATTTTCAAAAAATTGTCAATAAAATTGGCAATTTCTTGATTTTGATCACAGTCACTCTTGTAATCATCATTTTTATATATCAGGCGGTCAAATTTCGAAATACAAAGTCTGGTAATATATTAGAAATTTTGCAACACATTCTGGTGTTGACGGTTGCAGCTATTCCGGTACATATTTTTTATTGCAACGAGTCTTTTTTTTTTAGAAAAAAAAAAAAAGTTTATTAAATAACTATGATTTATTTTTGTCTTGCTCTTATAAAGGTCGGTTTACCAACCGTTCTTTCCGTAACTATGGCCGTAGGAGCAAAGCAACTAGCAGCCAAGAAAGTAATTATTAGACGTTTAGCAGCCATTGAAGAATTGGCTTCTGTCTCGATTCTTTGTTCCGATAAAACTGGTACACTCACCCTTAACGAACTATCCACTGATGAGTCATGGCTGACTCCTTCCTATACGGAATCCGACCTTTTTTTGTATGCATATATATGCTCTGAACCAGGCACAGATGATGCTATAGAATTAGCTGTTAGAGATGCGGCTGAAAAAAAACTTGATATTTTAAAAAATCGTGAAAATGAACATGAAATTCCTGGTTTCAAGGTTAAATCATTTGTTCCTTTTAATCCTTCAAAAAAATTATCTCAAGTTACGGCAATAGACCTTGAAACGCAAAAAGAAATTCAAATAGCCAAAGGTGCACCACAAGTTATAATACAACTTGCAGGTGGAAATCATGAAGCCGACCTTGCAGTAGCCAATTTAGCATCACGTGGATTACGCGCTCTTGGCGTTGCAAAGACTAAACCTTCTGATACCGCAGATTCACGACAATTACAATGGGAATTGGTTGGGTTTTTAAGTTTACTCGATCCACCTCGACCAGATTCAAAAGAAACTTTAAAAAAATGTAAGGAATTAGGTATTAATGTTAAAATGGTAACAGGTGATCAATTAATTATTGCTAAAGAGGTTGCTCGCCGACTTGGAATGGGTAGAGCTATACTAGACACAAATCATTTGGTTGATCCCGCGAAATCTGATGATGAGATTACTGAGCACTGTGTAAAAGCTGATGGTTTTGCTCAGGTAGTTCCTGAACATAAATATAAAGTCGTTGAATTGCTACAAAAGAAAGGATATCTTGTTGGGATGACGGTATTAATTTATAAATGGTTTTTGTTTAATTTTTTTTTTCCTAATTCTCATTATTATTATTTTTTTCTTTATTAGGGAGATGGTGTAAATGATGCACCAGCCCTAAAGCGCGCGGACGTTGGAATAGCGGTACAGGGGTGTACGGATGCAGCGAGATCTGCTTCCGATATTGTATTATTAGCACCTGGCCTTTCAACAATAATTGACGGAATGATGACTTCTCGAGCCATATTTCAGCGTATGAGATCCTATTCTTTATATCGTATAACTTCTACGATACATTTTTTACTATTTTTCTTTCTCGTAATCTTGATTTTGGATTGGAGCTTACCAGCCGTATTGTTAATTATGATTGCGCTGTTGAATGATGCAGCAACTTTAGCCATTGCGGTTGATAATGCACAGGTATGAATAAGTATGGTAAAAGTGCGAAATTGAAAATTTTTTATTTATATTTGAATGTACTATTTATTTATCTATTATAAGACATCTGACAGTCCAGATAAATGGCGCATCGGGCAATTAATCACGCTTAGTATAATTCTGGGAATTATTTTAACAATGTTTAGTTTTGCACATTATTTCATTTTCTTGCATGTAATTAAAGTAACACCAGGTAATTTACATACCATCATCATCTCGCTTTAATTTATCGTTTTTCAAATTTGATCCCTTTTCTCACAATCATTCAATGTTGACAAAAGAACAACTTTACACAGTAATGTACTTACATATATCATCAGCTCCACACTTTGTAATATTTTCTACACGGTTAACGGGTCACTTCTGGGAAGTTCTTCCATCACCGATTTTCGTTGTTTCAATATTGGGTACACAAATCTTTGCTATGATTTTATCGGCTTTCGGATGGCTTACCGAATCTATTGGATGGATTATGTCCATCGTTATTTTATCGGTGAGTCTTTAAGGCATTCAAATATTAATTATTTCCACATTTATAAATGGTATATTAATCATTTTATTATACGTATATGCACTTCATCTGACTGTTGAACTAAGTAGATCTCTTTGTTAATATTCGTATTCATTGACTTTGTTAAAGTATTAATATATCATTATTGGTCATTTGAATTGATAGCTAAACTTCTTCCATCATCAGCAAGGCGTGAAAAGTTAGCTGCACGTCGTGAACGATCTTTGTTAATGAAAAGAATCGCTAGAAATGTTAAAAAAATGAGAAAAGTATTATTAATGATTAAAGTTATTAGTGCATTTAGACAAACAGTTAGTGAGCGACAAGCAATTAGTGAGCGGGAAGGATAAAGATTATATTTGTGTTGATTTTTTTTTTTTTTTTAGATAATTGCTTCTTAATTCTAGGTGATAACTTTGTAAATCTTTAAAATGCACGATTTATAGTTCGTTTATAGATTATTTATAAACATGAGATTATTAACGTTAATAATACAAATATCACAAAATCTTATTTACGGTTTATATGTGGTACTGTATTCGTGAATTTAAGAATGCTTAATTCTATTTTAATGAATAAACCAAATAATCATTTCTTATACAGAAGCATTATTCAGTATATATTATTAGTATATATTACAGTTTATTTTTTTGACAATTGCAGTCAAAATATGTTTTAGACATAACTATTTCTTATTTCAAAACATCGTGAACTTTGGAAATTAACCCCGAGGGTAGGTGTATATGGGTGCGGACCAGTGTTGGAAATCTAATGTTCTCAACGTTCTCGAGAACATTAAAACCATTTTTGAGAACATAATATTTAAAAATTATGTTCTCATTATGAGAACATAAAATTTTTTAATTTTTAATATAATTAATAGTATTTTGAGAACATAATATTTTTTTGAATATAGTAAAATTTTATTAATAAGAACATTTTAACTCTAAAATTTATGTTCTCAAAAAACAAAAAAAATTTTTCAGATTTCCTTCACTGGTGCAGACAATAGAAACAGCCCATTTTTACATTTATCTTATTTTGAGATAATTGAGTTTAATCGTTTTGATTTTCGGACCGATCCGGGATTAATCAAATTTCACGATTTTGATTGGCTAAAGGTAGCAGGTGACTATCGGATAATCTCGTGATGTGTTGGCTCTACGAATCCTCGTGTAATTTTTCTTTTACATTATCTTGATTTTTTATTATGCAAATCAACTTTTATTTATAATTGAAAAATGGTAATCATGTCAAAATTTATATGAATCTAATAAAAACTCAATTTTCAAAAAATTGTAAAAATGTGCTGTTTTTATTGTTTACACTCTATATAATCTATATGAGTAGCTTACATTTTCATGTAATTTGTGTAATTTTGAGAGTTTTATGAAAACCATTTTACAAAAACCTATACCAAATTATGTAAAATTATGTAAAATTACAGTAATTTAATAACTCTATATATGAGTGTTGTTAAAAGAAAACCTGACAATTTAAATATAACTTATATTTAAAATTTTAGATTTTTTTTACTGTAGTATATTAAAATTTGGTTAAAAGGTGTGGTGACTTAGTGAAGTTGGCAAGTTGTCACACCTCAAGCAGCAGAACTAAAGTTTGAATTCTATCGGCGATGAAAATTCAAATTATAGAAAATGTATTTGGAAGACTGTATCCTATTGGGTTGTAGAACCTGTAATGGTGGTCGTACCAGCTTGTACTGGGAGGTAGTGGAACATGTAGTATGATATATGAGTTACATAAAATCTAAGTGAAACTACCAGATAAATTCAGCAAATTTACAGAGTACAGGAGCCTGCTTGGCAAGACCTAAGTAGAGAGGTAGTACAGATTTTTGATGGTTACTATATAAAGGATAATTAACCAAATACCAGAAAACCAGACGGGACTGAGGTGTTTGGCAAAAAGCACTATACTAATCAGGCCAACAGGAAAAAACAGAGGAAGGGTTTTGCTCTTCCAGGCTGTAGGATTGGAAGTTTGGGTTTCCGGAGATATAGGAGGGAGTCTGTAAAGTAGGTACTGGGGTTTGAATGAACTCTACAAGGACAGTAGTAGATAACTATAGCGGTTTCGGCTCGCAAGTACTTGTTTTTAGATTTGGCATAAGTTACCAAAAAGGTCTAGTCTGGAAATGTGTGAAATATAGAAAGATTAGAGGGGTATATATTACACCTTCTCTAAAGCAATCCGGTAAATATGAGAATCCTACTAGGTTATCTATAGAATTAGTGTACAAGTAGTATAGTACATATCGATCTGGGTGGTCTTTAAATGTAGCAGCATAAGGTTATGAGCCAGCGTAATTGTAGGTAGTGGTAAATGTACTACTTAAATACCTAATAAAAAATTCGTCTGTTCATGACATTGTGAGGAAAAAAAAAAATTTTGGTTATCCCTTAAACCATTGTTATATTAGCAAATTTATTAGTCAAATTTATTTAGATAATATATTTTATTAGGCAATTTTTATTAGTTGAATTTTATTAACAAATTTTATTATATATTTATTATATATTTTCTTAAATTTTATTATATTATTTATATTATTATTGTATATTTTATAGTATTATTAGTTTATTTATATAATTTATAATACAGTATATTTTATTTATTTTAGTCGCTCAAATGATAGTTTATTATTAACTTTATTAGGATAGTTTTCACAAAATTCCATTTAAAGCAATAGTTATTTATTTATTTAATTTATTAGTTTGTTTAATGTAAATAGAACCCAGACCAAGTTACCCAAACACAAATGGTGCCCCAGGATAGCCTAGAATGATATAACAACAACATTAAAGATAAACAAAGCCAAACAAGCCCAAAATGGCAAAAGTGCTCTTGCTATATTAAAAGATGCCCATCTTATATTAAAAGGTGTCTATCCTATAGTAAAAGGTGCTCATCCTATAAGAAAAAGTGCTCTTGCCATAGTAAAAGGTGCCCAATATCTAATTTTAATTGTTCTAAAGTGCCCATCCACTATTTGGAAGTGCTCATCCACTATCTAAAGGTGCCTATGCTATAGTAAAAAATACTCTTCCATTAATAAAAGGTGCTCTTTCTTAATTAATTACTATGTTTTATAGTAAATTAATATATCAAAAAAAGATATATGGGGAGCATATATATGCAACAAACTCTCCTTGATGATCACTTATACCAAACTTATGGCTAACGAAAACAAAAACTTGTTGGAGAAAAGTAGAAGAGACAACTACAAATAACAGTTTTTACAGAGGTCAAGGATTTCTATGTTTCTCCCGAACTTCTCTGTATATTCAGTATGCAAGTTAAAAGCATTTCTGTACAAGATAACTAGCAAGAAGGTGGTGACCTTGTACAGAAAATTTTAATAGAACTCTGCTTCTGCTGACGAAGTTAAAGATAGTTGGTCTAAGGAGAACAACAAGCGAGTTTTCAACATGTTCTTTACCGAAGTTTAAGGCTACCCACAAACCGAAACCCTCTTCCATATCCTCACTCTTGGTCTTTACGGAATTTCTCCAAAAAGTGGGAAAAATGGCGTACCCTGTCAAAAGATCGACAACAACAATCGCTGTCGAAAAAGAAAAGACACGTATACATATACATGTCTACTTTTGGTTATAGTGTAAGATAACATGATAACATTTAAAACATTGTAGAAGACATGTTGACGGGATAGGATAGCATCTAGAAGTTTCAACCCTTGGAGCTCTACTTCAAGACCGGATGGTTTTTAATATTTTTACATTCTGGATATAGATATAAATAACTAGTATAGAGTTTAGTCTAGGTTATTTGTAGTACTATATAATTTTTACAATCTTACACAGGTTTAATAATGCTATCTTTGTTTTCTTTTCTTTGTTTTTCTTTTTTTTCGTTATTTGTTTATTTGGTTTTATTAGTTTAGGTGGACTAGATCTCGATGCCGTAGTATTTCCCTATTTTTGTTATGCTCTTTGTATTTGTGTTTGTTTTCGTTTTGTAAAAGGAAAGTTAATTTGGATATGGTGTGTAGAACCAGACCATGACCAAAGGATAATCTCTAGTAAGTTAGAGGCCCGGAGAAAGGCTTGAAGTTCATTGAAGCAAGTCACACCTGGTGAAAGCATGGGTGCGTCACTTTATGGGTGAATTAAGTATAGCTATTATTAGGGAATGTAAATTTCTTAGTATAGTTTAATCTCAATAAAAAGTAGCAAGACAGCCGAATTATAAAAAAAAAAAAAGATATATGGTGTTTTTGCTATGAAAATGATGTTACGGCACTAGAAATTTTTTTTGAGTAAACAATGATTAATATTATATAACTAAACCAACCCAAATTTGATTTGCCGCTAATTTTAGATATGCTAATCGTCAATTTTTGCAGATCAACCAATCAAAATTATGAATTTTAATTAGAAATCTTCAATATTTTTTAGAACAAAGTATCTGCTCTTGCAATATATAAAATTTAATAATTACAAAACATCAAATTGCAGATACTTGCTTTCTCAGTTTTTATTAAATTAAAAATTGGTTGTATATTAATTTTATTTATTACACTCTGAATTTTTTAAATTAAGTTAAAAGTTGAACGATTTTAGCTACTATCATCACGATATAGAGTTAGGTCCTTTATAAGTTTTATATACACAAAACTAACTATTAAACTATTCTCACAATTTTTCACCTGAGTTATTATGATATTTATTATTTTACACCAAGATTATGTAATATGCAAGCATTTATTGATCTAACTAATATTTATGTATTTGTAGATTTTTTTTTTAATTCATATAATTTTTTATTAGTCAAGCAGAAATAATGTTTGTGCAGAGAATTCTAGTCTAAAATCTTAACATATATAAAGTATTAAACCAATCTATTGAATAGATTAAAGAAATTGGGCTTTAAGTAGCCTGGCTAGGTGGTATATAAAAATTGGCGGTAATTAGTTCATATATAGTAATATCACATAAATTCTCTAGTGTTGTTATTCTTGAAACTTTGTACAGATGAAATAAACAAATTTATAGAATTCAAATAGTATTATATTGTTGATACAAATATACAGGTTAAAATTATATGAAATGCATGTATATTGGCCAATAAAATCTTGAAATTATGGTTCTTCAAATGCTGGCACACATACTATTAAAATATAGTGCTTACACCAATGTCTAGCACTATGTTTAATAAGGCACATACTGACACTCTAGGACTAACAGCAGAGACAGTGCCTGATCCAATGTGAATTTCTCTTGCCTATGATTAATTACAAATTAATTTATTTATGTTAGATTCAATTGTGATGGATATAATCCCTCACCAATTTTAATATGTGTAATAT